TTATAGAAAGTTTCAAACATACCCCGGAGTAAAGAGAGGGTTTAATGACCCCCATATACCCATCATCTGGTCTCAATAATTATAACTCATGGCCGTTATTGTTTCTACCTTACCTCCATCCTCTCTCCCATTCCTGATTTTTTATTTAAAATTTTCTGATTGTCGCCCTGGCCGGTTTGGCTCACTGGATAGAGCGTCGGCCTACGGACTGAAGGGGCCCAGGTTCGATTCCAGTCAAGGGCATGTACCTTGGTTGCGGGCATATCCCCAGTGGGGGGGTGTGCAGAAGGCAGCTGATCGATGTTTCTCTCTCATCGATGTTTCAGACTCTCTGTCCCTCTCTCTTCCTCTCTGTAAAAAATCAATAAAATATATGTATTTTTTAAAAATTTCTGATTATTTTCTTTGGATAAATGCCCATCACAGGAGTCTAGAAAGTGGTGGTAGAGCAGAGCATTGATCTGGGTCACACTGCCGGATTCAAATTCTGACTGCTGAGTTTACTTATATCTACAATGGGGATAATACAAGTGTCTGTATGTGCGCAGTACACTTTCATATATGGTAGCCACTAGCCACCTTAGATTTAAATTGTCTAAAATAGAATAAAATAAAAAGTTCTGTACCTCAGTCATACTGGCTATATTTTAAGGGCGCTGTAGCCACATGTGCCAAGTGGGTACAGCATGGGATAGAACCTCCATACTGAGGAGAGTTCTCTAGCTCAGAGCTGCTCTTTATCATAATTTGTTATGAGGCTTAAATGAACAGTGTAAAATTCTTAGGATGGCATCTGGCCTAGGGTCACAAATAGACTGTAAGACACCTTTGTGCAAATTAGGAAAAGATGTCCCCACTGGGAGGATGTCCCCAGCCAAGTGAGGGGAGGGTGCATTGGATTTCAGATGCCCCGGCCTCCTTAGGCAGGCATCTTTGTGCAGTGCGCACGCTACATAGCTGTACTCCAGGACCCTGGAATAGTATAGAACTCAGTGTTTGTTAGCTGCCATTATTATTTGGATTATTATTTTATTCCTTGGTCAAAGGTTTAGACTTTGATATTTATGAGGGCTTATCCTATATTACCTTCTTAGAAACAATATAGTAAGAGGGCTTATTGCACTGAATCTTTGCCAACACTAAATATTAGTATTCAAAGTATATCCTTGCCAGTGTAATAGGTGAAAAAAAGAATCTCATTGTTATTGTATGTATTTGCTATAGTTTATTTGATAATTTCTCCTATGCCTGTTGATCATCTTTTTCTTCTGATAACTGTTAATATCTTTTGCCCATATTTCTATCTTGGTGTTATCGTTTATTGTTGGTTTGCTTTTAAAGTACTTTTTTATACTTTAGCTATATACAGGGTGGGGTTTTGTCCCAACCTGTATACACAGATTCTGACTATCCAGAGACCCAGGTCCCAGGAAAAATGGTTTTACTTTCAGTAAATTCAAATTCAAGTCTTAAAGCTTCTTTTTACTTTATATTAAATTGTTTTAGCTCTTTATTTTGGAAAATTTTGTACAATTGGAAAGAATAGAATAATAAACCCTATTTTAACCTATGATTTTAATAATTATCAACTTGTGGTCAGTCTATTTCATCTGTAAGCTCTCCCTTAACCCAAAAAATACACACACTAAATTATTATGAATTTCAGCTATCAAATTTCATCCATAAATTTTATAGTTATTCTTGTTTTTTGATGCCTTCGTTTTTAGATTCAGAAAAAGCGAGGGGATCTTCGATTGATTGTGGCTTCAGCCACTCTGGATGCAGAGGTAAGAACATTTCCCCTCTCTCCTTGTCCCCCATAAACACTGGAATCATTGGCCATGACTGTGGGAAGTTACCTCTAGCAAGAGCTTATCTTTGGCAGAATGGCCTACCTCTCTTATGGGGCCATCTGATGACCTAGATTCCAGGGGATGAGAGGATACTCCTTTTTAGCCTGTAGGCGGAAATCAACCTGTAATTAATCGAGTTCATAATACCTACTTGTCTTGTTTCTCTACATACTGTTTCTCTTCTTACAGGCAGCTTCTTTTTATTACTTTTCTTAGTATGAGGTTATTTTTCTTGCATTTACTTATGGCTAGCATTTATATTTAGAATTTTTGTACAATTGAAGTTTTTACTGTACATATAATGTCCGTGTTATAATTTTTTTATGGCTAAGTTTATATTGTTATTCTCTCTTAACTAATATTTAAGTTCACACAGTGGTTCAACTCAACAAATAATTTTGACCACTTGTCATCATATATATATAAAATAAATAGGTGTTTACAGTTCAGTATGTTCAAGGTACTGAGACAGCCAAGGAGGGAGTTCCTAACTCCAGCCAGCTCAAAGGTGTCCATAAGCTTTCACAGAGGAGGGACATCCGGTTGGGTTTGACAGATGCACAGAAGTTTGTCAGATGGGCGGGGGGCGCATCCTGAGCATGCACAGAGCACAGGGGTGTGAAACCATGTGTGCATGGGGCTGGGAGTCAAGTGTAAGGTGGGAGTCTTACCTGTATGGCCTGCTATGGGGTGATCTGCCTCTGACTTCCCCTTTCTCCAGTGCTCACTACACTCCAACCCCACTGGTCCCCTTGCTGTTCTTCCAAAAACCCCAAGTATGCTTCTGCTCTGAGAGGGACCCTCTTTCTACACCATTCTTCCCTCACATGTTTTCATGGCTCCACTCTTATTTCATTCCAGTCTTGACCATGTATTATACTCTCAGAGAGGCCTTTCTTGACCACTCTGTCTAAAGTTGCTATCCAGCTTCTTATTCTGCTTATTTTTTTCTGTTTAGCACTAACATTAGGTGTATATCGAGTGTTTATTGTGTGTCTCCCATCATGAAAAGTAAGCTCCCTGATGATTGGGGCTTTGAATGTCTTCAACAGTGTCTGGCATAATGTAGGTGCTGTGGGTTGAATAAATTTTGATTGAATAGGAGGTAGTGGGAGATTAAAATGGAAAGGTTGGTAGGGGTCAGATGATGGAAGGCCTTACAAGCCAACGAGAGGGGGAACTCCATCCAGCACCTGGTTGGGAGCCTTGGGAGGGTGTGAGGTATGTGACTTGATCATATTGACTTGATTCTAGGAAGAGCACTTTGGTGCTGTGTAGAAGAGACAAGAGGGTTGTGGAAATAGCAGTTAAGAGGCCAGTTTTATAATCCAATTGAAAAGGGCCTGGCCTTGCTGTGGCTTCAAGATCCAAACAACTTGGAGAGAGAAAAAACCTAGCATGGCTAAGAGAGGTGTCTGCATGTGCACCCAGACTGCTTGCAGACCTTCTCACAAGGCTGTAGGAGTCTGGTGTGTTAAGTCTGTCCATGATAACTTCTGGGGCAAAGCTCCTTGGTTGCCCTCTTTAGTTCTCATATCCTTCACCCACAATACCTGCTAGAATGCTATTTTGAGGACCATACCTGACCTCTCCTGTTACCTCCTCTGTGGCTAAGTTGCACAAAACATCTCTATTTTACATCTTATCTTCATTATCCCCCCCTTGTAAAAAGGATTCCCAACAGTTTTCGTTATGTTTGAAAACTGTAATGTCTGAGTCTTTTCTTAGAATGACTGTTAAATAATACTTATTGCTCATAATTGCCTTTCATAGTCTTGATGTGACATAGAGATTTAAAAAAATAGCTTCTTTCAGTTCTGCCTACAGTAGTTGATATAGATCAGTGGCGGGCAAACTTTTTGACGCGAGGGCCACAATGGGTTCTTAAACTGGACCAGAGGGCCGGAACAAAAGCATGGATGGAGTGTTTGTGTGAACTGATATAAATTCAAAGTAAACATCATTACATAAAAGGGTAGGGTCTTTTTTTTCAATAGTTTTATTCATTGCAAATGGGCCGGATATGGCCGCGGGCCGTAGTTTGCCCACTGCTGATATAGATGGACTTTCTGGAAGTGATTTCTTTAAGTGGGAAAGTAGAATGAATGTAGGAAATTTGTGATGCTGTGGGAATACTATGATGCAGGCATGCCAGGAGCTCAGCATTGTTTAGCCGGGCCTTTGATGGGCTAGGGCCATTCACCCCTTTATCCCTTCCTGCCCCATGCTGGGGATGGAGGTGAAGTCTGTCTGTGTGTGTATGAGGAGAGGACCTCAGGGAGAGAATCAGTTCTGTGGGAGTGTGGGTGCATGTGGGGCGTGGTTTATGAGTTCCCATGTGAGAGTGAGTGAGGAAGAGGAATGGAGTGAGCTGAAGAGGGCGAAGGAGGAAGAATAGGAGTGGGCATGGGTGTGGGAAGGGGTGTGGCTTAGGTAGCATTTGACCAAGAGGTCAAGGAGGTGCCAGAACTCATCCCTGGTCCCCCAGCTGCTGCATCTGTGGATGACAGACTAATTCCAAGCCCCACTGCCTGGAGGGGTAGATGATGCCACCTGCTCTGGTTTTGCTCAGGGCCCAGGTGGCTCAGCAGTGACTACAGCTGGGAGGCCGAGGCAAACATGACTGGGCTGGTCACATAGTTGCCTTGATTGTTTAGTTGCTTTGTTAATATAAGCCTAATTAAGCAAACAATTACAGAAAACATGGCCAGGTATAATTACGAAGTATTTATTGACCAGTAGTATATCACATGCTATTCTTTTTCTTTTATTTGCTTTTATCCACGTGGCAGAAAATGGGATTGCTGATTACTCCCACAGTTTTTGTCACAGGTCCAGCCACTTGGGAAGAGACTAGTTTCCCTCTCCAGATTCCTGGAGAAGGAACTTGGGGTCAGCTGGGGTCAGATGCCCACTTGGAACTAATTCACGTGGGCCAAGGCCTGTTGGATCCCGAGGTGGACATGGCTGCTGGAAGCCCACTTCTGTGCTCAGGGAAGGAAGCTGTGGCAAACTGGGAAGGCCACCCAGCAGATGTCCACATCATTTTCATTCCATTTCATAGGCTGTCCTCTTCCTTTATGCCATTTTTATGTTTCTTACTGTATATCCATGTCAGTGTGACACCCCCCCACACCCTCCCACCCCCGTTTCAAACCTGACTCAAACTCTCTCCTTTTCGAGGCGTGTTGAGCCTGTTTCACTCCTTCTGTCCTTCTGCCTCAAAATGTATACACTGTTGATACTATATTTATTTGCTTTCTAGCCTGTAATTGTCTGTGTGTATTTTATATTTCCAAATAAAGATAAAAGACCTTAAAGATTAAGATCTTGTGCCTTCTAGGGAATCTAAATGGGTAGAAAAAATAAGCAAAATACCCACTCTACTCTATGCCAGCTCCACCAACAAAAGCAGGATTTTGAGCCTAGGAGACCTGAGGCTACCCTTATCTTCTCAGCAAACATAAGAGGTATTCCTTTTAAAACATAGCTGAGCAACCCAAGAAGAGATGATGGGCACGTGCCAGCAGCTTAAAAATGATGGGCACGTGCCAGCAGCTTAAGAGGTTAAGAAACTGAGTGTCCAGGTTTTGAGTACAAGTTTATGTGTCTATGCCAAGACTAAGAAAATGATGTGTAAGAAGTTTCTGAAAGTGATAAGGTAGATTTTTCCCAATGAAATAGCAGGAATATATATGTTGTGACCTAAATGCCACAGCTCTTTGCATTAATATAGAACCTAATGCCTCATTTTGTACAGAAACAGATCTACTTTCATGCAGAAATCAAGCATATTTCTAGAGCCCAGGGTTAAATGAGCATCTCAGGGATTTACATTAGTAAGATTACTAGAATCTCTGCATAATCCTGGACTGTGATGTGTGTCCCTATTAATAACTGAGATTGACTTTTCCAATAGTCTCATGAAGGGAACTTTAGAGCAAATTAAATTTAAATAAATACCTGAGTATAGTGGTTGCATTTCATACCCACTACCTAAGGCAAGTGCAAATGTTTTAAAATAAAACAAAAGTGGAGCCAGGAATTGAAACTTAATATGATTGTTCCAGAATATTCCAAATCCAGAATTTATTTCAAAAGCATACAATTTTCATTTCACAGCACTGCATGCTTATTGATGTATTAGTGTTTCGTTACTTTAAGTTATTACTTTGTGCTTATAATGCTTTTTTATATTACTGTAACTTATTATTCTAACTTTAAAATCTTGAATCAGTGAATAAGAATACCTCTTGTTTTGGAAGTGTAGACTACTGGAATGAAATCCAATAAATGTCATCTTCTCATTTGAAAAAAAAAAAGATCTTGTGCCTTCTCAGTTAATGCTGAATTTTATTTCTTGAAAAAGTAACTTCCCCGCCGAAACCGGTTTGGCTCAGTGGATAGAGCGTCGGCCTGCGAACTGAAAGGTCCCAGGTTCGATTCCGGTCAAGGGCATGTACCTGGGTTGCGGGCACATCCCCAGTAGGAGATGTGCAGGAGGCAGCTGATCGATGTCTCTCTCTCATCGATGTTTCTAACTCTCTATCTCTCTCCCTTCCTCTCTGTAAAAAATTAATAAAATATATAAAAAAAAAAAGTAACTTCCCATCTTTATTCTTCAACACACATATTCCTGAGTAGCTAAGGGGTAGCCGCCGACTCCAACAACATTGTTAAGGCATCAACTTCCTCCCTGTTCTGCTTGCCTTTTTGCTCCAGAAAGCCTCTGTTGAGTCCTTCCTAAAATCTTCCTCCTCCGCTGGCAGCACCTGCCTCCCTGATGGCTTCCCCTCCAGCTAC